GGTTAACACAGTACCTGGCACTCTAGAAACACACAGGGGTATCAGGTATTATTGTCAGTACTTTTAATATGACTCCAAGAGTGGTAGAAACTGTTCTTTGTCCACCTCGACATTCACTGTGCTCTGTAACCCAGAGGCCAGAAACCTGATGCTGGCACCAATACCACTTCCACAGCTGTCTCCCACAGCCAGGACCTGATTCCAGGCATTTTGAAATCACAGAAAGCATTCACATCTCGACGCCCCAGCCTGGCAGCATGAACAGCGGCAGGAACATGTCTTCCATGTGGCTTCTCTCTTGCATTTTACACACGTGTCTTCAGTTAGCAGAGCCAGGTGTGCATCCCAGACACTAGCTGTAAGATGGACCAGGACATGTTGTCAGCTGCCTGCAGCCAGGAGTCAGAGCCGAGGCTCGGAGAAGCACCGGATACAATGCTCCGCATGATCCATTCAAGCACCACTTGTTTGAATCAAACATCAGTTGTTCCTGAATTTTTCCTAGTTAAAAGTAATTGTCTGTCCTCCTCCAAACTGGTAGTTTTGAAACCTCAGGACATGAGAATCACCTGGGAGCTAAAAAAACACCTATTTTCATTCTCCAAAGAGAATACTTAATCAATTTCTCTAGAAATTGATTAAATTGGTTTGGGGCAGGAGTACACTTAAGAAATTTCTAAAATTTTAGTATGCAGGCCATGTTTAGAACCACTCTTCTAAATTTTTATGATCTTTCATTGCTCCTTCTCACATCCTAACTTGTATTTAGTTATTTATAAAACATCTTCATTCTTCCTACTAGATTTTAATTTCTCTGAGGATAGAATTTGACTCTAATCTATTTTTATGTTTTTATGTCACAACTTATAGAGGATTACTTCACAAATAAAAATACTGATGATGTTTATCAAATGCATGAATAAATGAGTGATATGTGATGTCTTGCAAAGAAAAGAGTTTTAAAGATATCAGGCATAGCATCAAGCTATGTCCTGCCTGACATTCTCTCAAGTACACTTCTTATGAATCTATTCTACTCAGCATAGTTTTACATAGAAGTGGGTATATTGTTCACAGCTTTAGCAGTCTAATCAATAATTCACCAGATGATGTAACTTGACATGAAATTATTCTTTGTTTAAAAAATAACATTAAGAAACAGCACTGTCAACTATGGAAAGTTTTGTCAATGAACTCACATCCTTTTAAGTAGAAATCTAAAATCTAAAGGAAGGAACAAGAAAAAGAAAGCCAAGTCCATTCATAATATTGGATTTCTGAGCTATGTATTTATTTCCATAGATTTGTTGATATATCAATGTACCTCTACATCAATCTCCTAAAATCACGGTATGCAATGTTAGAAGTTCTGTGTTTCAACTGTAATATAATTGCAGAAGGACTTTGGATGAAGCTTGACAAGAAGTTTTAGTTGATACTGATATAGCATTTCTGAGCTCCTACCCAGAAAAGTTCAGTCGTTATCCAATTAGGCTCTGTTTTAAGATTTCTTATGACTCATAATTGTAAAACAGCTTTGATTAGGGATTTTAAGTCTTTAAAAGCAAAATTTCCCTAATATCTTTGTCAAATTTACCCTCAGATTGGGGCTCCTGAGATAAGAATGACATAGTCCATCCTCATCCTCTTTGCTACAACTTCCCCTGTTAGAGAATGATTAAAAACCAGCCATGTGGTCTAACCTTCTGGATACAGGTATTCCCCAAGTCCTTAAAAATATTAGTGTTAGGGATAAAGAAGAAAAAGTATAGAATGATGTTTAGGAAAAGATAAGTTGATAAAAAGTGATCTGATTGGAAAAATTCACTCACTTGCCTCTTTTGGCTGCCCACTCCATTTAGAACTGCTTGTATTAAAAGGTCAAATGCCTTCAGAAAGATTTAGTTTTGAGGTCTTCCTTTATCCTGAATGCACCCAGGGGAAAGTCAGTTCCTACGACTCACCATTCCCAGCTTAAGGTGAGACCCTGTGCTGTTTTCTCATATGTGTTTCCCGCATCCATTCCCTCAAGATCATGAGTCCACTCTCATGCTGATTTTTTTTTTCAATAAATACATTGGAAAAAATTTTGGGAGATTTGCAACGATTTGAAAAAACTCACAGATGAACGGTGGAGCCTAGAAATATCAGAAAAATTAACCAGAAGTTAGGTATGTCATACTAGTCTGTTTCATCATTTACTAACATAAAATCAATTGTAGACTATTAGTAGTTAAGTTTTGGGGGAGTCAAAACTTACATGAGGATTTTGGACTACATGGGAGCCAGCAGCCTTACCACATTGTTCAATGGTCAGATGTATATGGTCATTACTCTTTATTTAAAAAACTCTATTTGGATGTATTCATCTAATGCATCATATCTAATGTAGATATAATGTATCACATGTAAATGATACATGTGATATATTATGGGGACTGAAAATGTAGGACTGAATTTCTCAGTGTATTTTCCCCCACCAAGCGTAAGAGAGTGAACATTCAGTTGACTCAAATTATATTCACCATCACCAAGGTTAGAGCTGAGCTAAGAGAATTCAGACTTCTTGAGGGCAGGGAGTTAAAAATTACTAAGTATATATTCAACACACATTGACCTGAACAAAAAGCCTACAACCACTGTGCAGTTCTATAAAGTGCAAAAGCACAAGGCTTTGAAATACCGAACTGACTGTCCTCACCCTATCCAACTCCCTGATGTTGTCTTTAAAAAACACACAGAGTAAAAAGTAACTTCCTCCTTTTAAAAAAGTGAAGAAAATAACCACTGTGCAGTTCTATAAAGTGCAAAAGCACAAGGCTTTGAAATACCGAACTGACTGTCCTCACCCTATCCAACTCCCTGATGTTGTCTTTAAAAAACACACAGAGTAAAAAGTAACTTCCTCCTTTTAAAAAAGTGAAGAAAAAATATAGTCAGTGTTGTGAAGAATTTTCTACAGAGCAAGATCTATTACATGGTTGTACTTAGACAACTGTACTTATATTTAGACAATTATTTCTATTTATTGACATATATTTTGATATCAACACTTACACACTTGCAAAATAAATATTTATTTGGACATTTAGGTTTCAGATATTTAGAGTTCTGACCTGATCACCAAATAAAGTAGTACAAGTCTTACAATGTTGTGTTTAAGGTGTTGTTTAAACCCTTGAAATATTACCAACTCTGTAATCCCTTTTATTGTTTCTTCATTTTGTAATATACTAATAATTTCACAAAATGGATGTACCCTGGGAATTCCCAAGTCCTGAGGGGCCATTCTTCATAGTGCTTTTATACACATCTGAAACTAAATAAATATGAATAATGAAATGGTATCTTTCATATTAAATGATGTCAGTTAAAGATATATACCTTATTTCACTATTAAGAGATAAACATCTGATCATTGCAAATGTGAATAAAACTTGAGTTTCTAAATCTTTCAAGTGAATCAGATCTATTTTCCTCCTGCTTCCAAGCCCTCAGTAACCCTTTAAGTGTGTTTGTATTCACTAGGAAGGAACATTTCTGTGGAACTAATCAAACAGGGAATTCAATGTTCCTTGTAGATAATTTTGGCATGTTCCATTGGGAACTTTCTGGTCTGAATTTTGATCTTTCCTGGGAAAAGACCCACATATTCTGAATCCTTTCTCTGTTTTCTCTGTTAGTGAAGAACAACATATCAAAAGTGTTGTGCACAGAATTAATGACAATGTGTATTCAGGAAGACCCTCTGCCGGAAACGTCATTGAAATAAAAAAAGGCAAAATACAATTCAAATATAGTAAATAAACCTCACATCTTAAAATGTTGTTTAAAAAAATCACAATGATTGATTTTCTGATTTGTTAAATTTTAAAAACTAATTTCTGAAGTGAAGAAATAGGAAATATTCAAACCTCCTAATATATCCCAGTAAATCCTGAGATGAAAAATCTCATTTCCCAAGAAAACCAGTAGTACTGCCTTTGGTGACAATGAAAACCTCATGTTCAATGCCTACCTAAACCTTTTGAAATCCATGTTTTGTTCTTTAATGGTTTTCCTAAATTTAAAAAATAACTAGAATTCTTATCCTGGCCTTGGCTTCATTTCGTATCAGTTTTTCCTCTGTAAGCTGCTGCTGCTATTACTTATTCTGTATACATGTTAGTTTAGCCCTAAAGCCTGAAGCCTTTTGCTTTTTTCTACCACTGATGGTCTCAACAGCACTTCTATAGCACTTATGGGCAATTGCTCAACAGCAGGCACAAAAACCTAGCACTTGGACTGAATCCTACTACTGAATTTTATTTGGCTGGCTTAGTGCGGGACATGTACATGCAGATGTCGAGGAGACAGTGATGAACAGGCTAAAGCTAGAGATTTGGAGTCAGCAGCATATCTGGGGGGGTTGGAGCCACATGTCGGGAGGATGTGCCAAGAGGAAACATACAGTACAGGAGTAGCTTAGGATGAATGCACAGAACTCTCCTCAGGTACCCAATAAAGATTTGAGAAAGAAAAGAATGGCCTAGAAAATAGAAATACAGTTGGTTATTAATTTCTATCTCAGTTAGAGCAAAAAAGACTGCTGTTATTTTCACGGAACTCTGCCTCCAGAACTCTCCAGCAAGATAATACGTTAGTGAAAGCTCTGTCAACAGTCCATATTGAGATCCTTGAGGTGAAACCACCCTATTTCAACACATATCACATTCCCATTGAATTCCACAGTAGTGAATGATGAATAGAAGATGTTTTTCACAACGTGGCTGCTGGCTTGGTGCATTTTGCCAGCAAAACACACAGGAGCTGCCAAGATGGGAGAGTAGCCTTTCCTAAATCGCTCCAAGTGTCACCATGACTACAGCATATTTTCCTAAATTGGTGCCTTTTCACTTAAGAAAATATAAATTCACTCAAATGCTTGACTCATATTGAGGCCTCATAATTTACCTTACAAAAAAGGCTTTAATATACATGAATTATTTTCTTATTCACAGCATTGAATCGAAATGACAACGGCTCAATTTGATTGTCAATATTGCACAGCATCACTTCTTGGGAAGAAGTACGTAGTAAAGGATGACAGTCCATACTGTGTTTCGTGTTATGATCGTATCTTTTCTCACCGTTGTGAGGAGTGCAAAGAACCCATTGAGTCAGATTCCAAGGTAGGTAGCACGTCACACAATTATTGCATGTGAACAGCAGACAAATGCTTTGGAAGGCTTCTTTTCCTTTGGTGTTGACTGTTAGTACTCTGATGCTCTGCTACTTACTGGGTATAAGGACCCTCAAAGTGACTTTTAATCAACTTCCAGGACTAGGCTTAGCACTACGGAATATAAGATATACAATCCTCACAGTGTTCTGAGATGGTTTAGGATGCTAAAGACTGAAGAGTTATTTTTTATTTGCTCAAAGTTACACAACTAAAATGTTGAGTTATTTCTGGAATGACAAGAGTATAAATTAATAAATACATATGATAATTGGAGGTGTAAAAATTCAAAAATCTTCTTCTGACTTCAAAGCATCCGCACTAAACTCACGGGGCCCGGATACCTCGCACCCCGACAGCCCTTTCCCTCCCCCAGTGCGCATTACTGTATTTTTCCCTTTTTATCCTCTTCCTCCTTTTCCTTTTGCCTTTGTTTTACTAAAATGGCACTGAGATTTTGTTAAATCTCCAACAGTAATAGCATATTACAACCTAAAAATAAAAATGGTTTCATGAAAATCCTGTCTTATAGTTTATAAAAGGTAGAGAAAATTTGAAGAAACAGGGTAGAGCCTATTTATTTTCCATGTGTCTTTAGTGACCAAGAAAACTCCAGGCTGCAGCTCTTAATTAGCCCGGAAGAGTCTCCTCTTTATGGGAAATAGTATCAATACCAACACTCCCTCAAGCTACCAGCAAAACCAACCGGCACCAGAGCCCCAAGAGTGTTCCATTTTGTCTTATAAAATGGTCTGTTTTGTAGCAAACATATTTAATTAACTTTTATTTGCTGTCTCTTAGGATCTTTGTTACAAAGGCCGGCACTGGCACAAAGGATGCTTCAGTTGCGCCAAATGCACTCACTCACTGGTGGAAAAACCCTTTGCTGCCAAGGATGAGCGCCTGCTGTGCTCCGAGTGTTATTCCAGCGAATGCTCCTCCAAGTGCTTCCACTGCAAGAAGCCCATCATGCCTGGTAAGTTCCGAGCAAAATCGCTCCGGTCTCTAACTGACGAGGCAGTGCTTTGAACTCAGCCCAAGCATGGGAAGACTGCAGGAGCTAAGCTTTCTCTGCTTTTTGAGAAAGACATGCTTCTTGCTATCTCTCCATTTCAGTCAGTGTACTTTAGAAATAAAAAGATTATTCTTTCTGTCTTGAATGGGTTAGTTAAAGTTTTCTTTGGATGTTCATACACCTAATTCATAGAGACATTTTGAATGAGAATCTGAGCCATAGCATAAAAAAAATCTATAACAATAATACTAACACTGCATTTAACACCCTGTCCTAAGCATAACCAATGGCATTGGAAGCAGAATCCATCATAGGACAATGGTGCCAGCCATCATTTTGCAGCTCAGGGCAGACTGGTTGGTGGGTCAGTCAACTTCATTCTCTCTTAGGGAAGACAAAGATACATGCTAAACGCTGCACTTGCAGGCAAGCACTAGTTCTCCTGGTTTTGATCCTCCTCTCAGTCCCCACAGACAGCGACATAAGAACATGCTCCTTGCATTTTCTTATATTGGATTCAAAGATTTATAGGAGACTGTAACTACACAACACCAACCTCAGGCGTTTGTGCCCCGGGCATCCTAACACCCCTGCAATGATTATTATGGCCCAGTTTATCTAAACCACAAACAGCCTTTTAGAGTCCCCATTTATAGTATGTCCATGTCTCAAAAGTGTTGCTTACACAGCACAAGAGTTTTCAGTAAAAGAGTGATTCACCACCAGCATGTCTCAATTCTGTTTTTTTCTTTTTGCAAATAAAAGGTTTGGAAACCAACGAAACACCATTTTTCTATGCAAACAATGAGCTTATCATCTTAACTTACATTTTTTGAGTAATTTGACAAATCTTTACTTAAAAAAAAATAAAGTTACGCTTGATTTGCACTAACAGGTTCTTCCTTTTGGGGTACAGGTTCCCGCAAGATGGAATTTAAGGGAAACTACTGGCACGAAACCTGCTTTGTGTGTGAACATTGCCGACAACTAATAGGAACCAAACCTTTGATTTCCAAAGAGAGTGGCAATTATTGTGTGCCGTGTTTTGAGAAGGAGTTTTCTCACTACTGCAGCTTTTGTAAGAAGGTACTTATCTAAGAGGATGGAGTTTGTGGAACCTTCCAGACAAGTCCATCTTTTTCACCATAAAACTCCACCCAGAACATGAATTTAATATCCTTTTTTTTTTCCCCATGCAAGAGACTTTATTCTCTGAAGGAGAGAGTGGCTGCCCCCAGGGAGAACAGGAGGACAGAGACAAAGAGAGAGACAGACAGACAGACAGAGGGAGAGAGCAGCAGAGACAGAGAGAGCCAGAGAAAGGGCAGCAGAGAGACAGACAGAGACAGAGAGGAATTTAATATCCTAATATCTCAAGTGATTTGATATTCCATTCACAGCTGTTATGCAAGATTTCATGTATTCTGGTAGATGGCACACATCTCTCTTTGAATACAAAATAGTTCTTAGAATATAGTTTGATCCATTTAATTTCAGGGAAATACGGATTTGTCTCTCAGAGTGACTAAGAGAACCCATTTAACCAGGATGCTTAATTCTTCACATCATCTCCCAGCCACAACACATGTCTTCCTGGCTTAAAGCTTTTATATTTCTAAAGGTAGATAGGCAGGCTCAAGAGAGTGATGAGATCGTAAGGGTAGTTCATTAGACAGAAAGACAGACAGAAAAAAAAAGACTAAGAGCTTCAAGTGGTTTCCTTTACTTCCTGTTCCAGAGTGTCACGTGGCACCTGTTAACTTGGGTGCCTATATCCTCTAAGCTTGTATGTCAAAAAGTCACTCACCTCTGTCACCTTGATTAAACCTGTCTGTATTCCATAAAATACGTATGGTATTTCCCAAGAACATCGTATATATTCTGATATGTATGATGTTGGCCTATCAGGCATCATACATTTAAAATAAACTTCTAAATTGTTATCAGAAATCTAAATCATGAGAATATACTGGATTAATACAGTAGTTCCTAAACATTTTTGAGCTATAGGCTACTTTGCAGAAGTTTTAAGACCATTTGTATATTTGCGTCTGGGCAGCCAGACGTCTCACTACCTATTTCTACAAATACATATATAAACACACATGCACACACAGTCATTTCCTACATATATTTAAAATACTAGAACTGCATTTAAGGAGGAACCAACAAAATCCTAAGTGATAATTACTAAGTTACACTATAATAATGGCCAAAAATTGCAATTGGTAATAGCATGACATGAACCATCTTACACCTGGAGAGGCCCATTACCCCCCCAGAAGCACTGACTTGGAAAATGATTTTACAAGCAACAGTCAGACCCTATGACCCTGTGACAGATCAAGCTCTGAAGAATTAGCAAAGTCAATGCATTTAGAAACGCATGCTGGAAATAAAATTTATCTCACTTAAAAACAAGATTTATCTCACTAATGTGAGGGACAACTACGTTGGCCATTTTTAGGTGCAATGTTTCTTAAAGACTTACACTAAAAGAGTAAAGAGGTGTGTGGGAATTACGTTAAAATCATTTATTGGATGCACAATATAAAGTTTCTTTTAATGTTATAGATATTTTAGAAGGGATTTCTCTAGTACATCGGTGCTGAACACTGTGTGAGGCTGAGGCCCTGGCATTTCCCAGGTTATGGGAGCCTGTCCTATATTTAGGACATGATTTGAATTCACCAAAAATTTATGAAATGTTTATACTGGGTGGCCGACAGATCACAACATGCCAGATTGTTTTCTATTTAATTTTTAAAACCACAAGTCCTTTAAAGAAACTTGGATATAAATGTTTCTGACCAAGATGGTCCAATCTGAAGAAAAACGATTTGTTTCAACCCAAACCAAAGAACAAATATACAAGAAAATAACACGGGCGAAAACTATTCAACAACCAGGCCCTTGAAACTTTTTCCATTGACTTTATTTTGTGAAAACTAAAATTTATTTCTACTAAAAAGCAAGTAAGCTCAAACTACAAAGGCTTTGAAATCAAACTCCTGAAGTTTCAAGCAGAGTATTCTGCAATCCATTGGCTGATGTTGACTGAGCACAAAATCATTAAGCCTCCATTTTGCCAAAGAAACTTGTTCTAAATCCTGAGATCAGTCAGTGGTAGAAACCAAGCTTAGATACCAGACTTCATCTTAGCCTGTCTGCGTCTTCAAAGGAACATAATATTAAGCAAACTATTTTTAATGTTTCAGAGTTTTTTCCCCCTAATTAACAGTCTTTGGGGTATATATCCAATTCTGTTTTGCTGTGAATACATTTTTCAAGTTTTGAATCTTTTAAGCCTTGCCTATTAATCATTTGACCAAAGAAGTCGAAGGAATCTTGAGTTCTGCTGTGCCCTTGGTAAGGCATTTGAAGTCAGTAGGGGATGTTTTAAATTGCTTTAGTTCACACACACCATTATGTTTCCCATTTATTTCTTTAGAATACTATGCTTTTTTTCTTTTAAAAGAAATAATTTTTCTATCAAACATCCTCAACTTTTAAGATATTTATTATAAAATTTAAAAATGTCTTTACAATAATCTTTTTAAAAACTTCTATCTCAGACAGCAATTTTTAGGTTGTCAGCAATAAGATGGCTTAGAATAGGTTTACATTTTCTGTGTCTCGTTAATTTGTATACAAAGATTACAGAAACCACCTCAGATACCACATTGCTTCAATCATTAGAAGAGATATACATGGACCCATTCCAAATTCCACAGCCACTCCAGGAGCACAATAGACGTGGATATGAAAAATGCTATGACTTATAAATTGCTGCCCAAGAAAAGTTATCCAATATTTATCCATCCAATTCTAAACAACGATGTATCAATCTTTTAAAATGTAGAATCTATGGATTACACTGGTCTAGAAAAAAATATTATTTTATAGAGGAATAATAAGCATCTCTGACAAAACCCTGGCATGCCACACTTTATGATGTCAATGTATAAACAGCGCTCATCACTTTAAGTCCTGAAGCCAAAGACCCCATTGCCACAGCACTCCAACGGCGCTAGATACAGTGCTGCGGTTGCTTTCCCAACATGTTTTCCCTCGGTGGTTGTTCACTCATTCAACAAGGACTTAACTGCCTTTCAGCACAGAGTAACCACACCTGGGTATTCTGTTAATGGTTAAGTTGGTCAAGTAGGCAGACGGTGAAATCCAGCTGTGTGCGTTTGAATGCCAGCTCTGTGTGACCCTGGCAAGTGACTTAACCCCTCTAACTCTAGTTGCAGCTCATCTCTAAACAGGGAAAGGCGATAGTCCCATTGGGTCGGCATGTGGAGAATCCTGAACAGGTCATCCCTTAACGCAGGGCTGAGGGCTGAAGCACATAACGGTGCTGAATAATTCCATTCACCATTGTTACTGCCAGAGGAAAGCTTTCAGGGAAAAGTTGCTTTTTCTCAGCATCCTTAACAGTTAGGCATGAAAATTAGAAAACAGTGTAGAACACATATTAGCTCTAGTGGAAGATCTTTGAAGACCAACAAGAAAGTTCGAGAAAGACAAGGCAAGGAATCCAGAGCCGACGTCTTTTTCATCTTCCTGAGTCTTTAATGGCCCTGCTTCTTTTCTGCTCCATTGTAGGAGAAAAATTAGGATATTTCTTGCCAGTTCCACTTACCCCTATAGCCTTTGGCTTCTCATATTGATTCGACAAATCACAGGAAAAAGACATCCTGACATAAGGCGGTAGAGTAGCAAAAGGACCACTTGCGGACATGGAAGGGACACGGGAAGGGTCTGAATTGTGATGGCTTCCGTAGTCACTGACTTTTTTGTGATCCTTTGGCAGGTGATAACTTCAGGAGGGATAACGTTCCATGACCAGCCATGGCATAAAGAGTGTTTTCTGTGCAGTGGCTGTAGGAAAGAGCTCTGTGAAGAGGAGTTTATGTCCAGGGATGATTATCCGTTCTGCTTGGACTGCTACGACCACCTTTATGCCAAGAAGTGTGCAGCCTGCACCAAACCCATTACTGGTGAGTTCTTCAGTTCAGGACAGTCCTACCAGGAGGCCGCAGGGCCGTGTGAATGCTACGGCGTCAAGCAGGAAGTGCAAGTAAAAAATTAGATGACCTTTCCCCGATGTTTCCCTTTGAGATAAACACACATGGGCATCCAAATCTGAACACGAATACTACACAACCCCTCAAGGCAAATATGGAGTGTAGTTAGCATAGCTCTGCTATGTAGAAGGTAACTAACACTCAACCTAATGGTACTAACTTATGTAAAGTGATAATTAGAGGGAGAAGGAGAACAGGGTGAGCTGAGAGTCCAGAGAAGACCGCCAGCAGGAGGCCTGATCTAAGCCAGAAATCCCAGGATTTTAGTGGGACAGATATGTATAAATCAAAATCCTGCTAAATTCCAAACAAAGATGAAGGAATCTTAAAACAGAAAAAGTTTTAATTAAATGCAGGTATTGTACAAAAATCTGAAGCTATGATAATAAGGGTAGCATTGGTCAGGAATTAAACTTCACTTTAAGATACTTCCAACAAATGTATTATTCTCTTTCCTCTCTACTCACTTGCAAAAAGTTTTTATTATGAATAGATGAAATATAATGATAGCATTCTGCTGAAGGAACAAAATACATGTGACAAGATTTGAAAATACAGTTGACCCTTGAATATCGTGGGGCAGGACACAACACCCCATCCAAACAGTTTAAACATTTTTACTCCCCAAAACATAACTACTAAAAGCCTACTGTTCCCCAAAAGCCTTACTGATAACTTAGTTGGTTAACCCATATTTTGTGTTATGTGTATTAAATACTGTATTCCAGCAATAAAGTAAGCCAGAAAAAAACATTTTCCAAAGTGTTGCAAAACTCCAGAACATGCCCTATTTCATTTATTGAAAAAAAACTGCATGTCAATGGACCTGCACAGTTCAAACCCCTGCTGTTCAAGGGTTAACTGTACATATGTGGTAAACCGATCCACAGTAAGTAGATTTTCAAGGTACAAAAATGCATTGTATTTTCTTCAGAGACATTTCTAAGATGCTAACGTTACAGTGAGAGAACTGAAGCTGGCATGACACAGAGGAACCCAACAGCTAGCTCTTCTTGTAGGTGATTTACAGCCACTGCGTCATGTGGCAGAACTGTACTTCCATTCCCCATTCCTAGAATTCTTAGATCATATTTTCATTTTTCAGTTCAGTTTATACTACATAGAATTAAAGATGACTTCATGTCTTTCCTCTCCTCCATCTTCAAATATATCACAAAATTGAAAGTTGGATCTTCTTCACACATCTTCAAAGAAAGAAACGAGTGTCCAGCAAACCCAGACTTGGCAGGCTTTCACTGACTTGCAAGGGGGGTGGTGGGGGTAGAACATTCCCTGGATGAACAGAGATGGGAGCAGGGTCCCGTCTGTCTGCACAGGGCACCATGCTATTTAGAATCACTCACTGGCCCACGGGCTGCATCTGGCTGGCGGGCATGTTTTGTTTGTCCTGCACATGTTTGGAAGCAAGTAACATAAAAGACACCTCTGCAGCCAAAAGTAAATGAAGAGCCTGCCGGGGGTGAGCAGACTGCCCTCCCCTTCCCCCAACGGCATCACTGTCATATGAATCTCTGTGGCTGCCCCATTGTGTAGGATAAGCCCTCTGTGTTCTTCACACCTTGTCTCCATCACTCAGCTATGTCACCTCCCCAGGCCTTTCAAGGGCTCGAGTTGGCAATCGCAGACTATTGGCCTCCAAAGCTTGGGCCCTTAAGTACTCTGCTCTCCTGATTCTGCACATCTGCCCACTCCTGCAGTCAAGAGAATCAGCCACCATCTCTACCAGTTTTAGTTAGAAAATGGGACGTCCAGAAATGCAACAGTACCTGGATCTCCAAAACCTCTTAGTAGAATCTGCAATCACAGTCCAATAGATTCAAAAGATTCATTCAACAATTTTTCTTGAACTGGTCAGGGAAAAAAGGGAGGCTTTCATAAGGGAAGTAGAAAATTAAACAATGCAAAAGGGGTCTGAAAACTTTCTAGGGACCCAAATGGCTAATACTGATCTTCAGAGAGCCTACATGAGCCCTGAATGTGATGAGTTTCGAGTGATTTTTTTTCTGATGGATTGTTTCGCATGAAGTGCTGAGCCCAGCTTATTCAGGTTCAGACAGGAAAACCACATTGCACTGCATGTAACATAGGGATGATCAGGAACCAAAGATTTTACCCAAAAGTAATCCAAATACAGGATTATGTATTTGATTTACAATAATCAGTCTTTTGATAATCATTTTAATCTTCTTTGGGCTCTGTGATAAAGAGACACCAAAGACTAAAATGCCAGCCAAAACTTCCAACTCACTTTATTATCTTTTGATCTCATTCTTCCATATATTTAGGCCCTGCAGTAGAGCTTCTTTAAAATTAAGTTATTTGAACTAATGTACCATTGGGAGTTCTCCTACTGCCATATATTTATCTTCTGAAAGTTGCACATTTAAGCAAGCAATATGTCAGCCAAAGAAACAATGTTAGATTATTTTCAAAATACATTTTACATTAACCAAATCTGTCTGTAAGTGTCCAGGTGTAATTTTTTAAAATCCCATCACAATGGATTTGGTTCACTTGAAGTCTCTCCTCCTCTAAGATGGGAATAACATTTTAAACTTTCTGGGATAAATGAAATGACTTGATGTAGTGTGGAAGGCTCTCAGCTAGGGAGTAAACACCTTGACCTTGTCTCTGCCCCTGACCTTGTCTCTGCCCTCTGGCCTTGTCACTGGGTGACCCTGAATAAATAACTCATGTGCCTTATTTGTGAAAGGGGGGATTGAAAGAGTCACACCTTAACTTTCTTACATTTTAATTTACTTTGAGTAGAAGTTTTAAATGTTATGATGTCTTCAGAAAGGGATGCTAATGTTCCTGGTTATGTTCTTTATAAAAGATACATTCAGTCTTAATTGGGTGATATTAAGAGCCTGCACTCTGAAACCCAATGGCCTAGGATTAAATCTCAGATCTGCCCCTCACCATCTGGGTGATTTGGACAAGTGGTTGAACCTCTATGTCAATGTGCATCTGCCAGGTAGGGCTGATGATAATACCTACCCATGAAGGGGAGGTGAGAGTTACATGAGTAACACATGTGAAGGGTGTGGAATAGGGACTGACCCATCTTCAGTAAACGGCAGCTCCAAAAATGATAGCTTCCTATTCATGCCCACTCCTGCAGTCAAGAGAATCAGCCACCATCTCTACCAGTTTTAGTTAGAAAATGGGACGTCCAGAAATGCAACAGTACCTGGATCTCCAAAACCTCTTAGTAGAATCTGCAATCACAGTCCAATAGATTCAAAAGATTCATTCAACAATTTTTCTTGAACTGGTCAGGGAAAAAAGGGAGGCTTTCATAAGGGAAGTAGAAAATTAAACAATGCAAAAGGGGTCTGAAAACTTTCTAGGGACCCAAATGGCTAATACTGATCTTCAGAGAGCCTACATGAGCCCTGAATGTGATGAGTTTCGAGTGATTTTTTTTCTGATGGATTGTTTCGCATGAAGTGCTGAGCCCAGCTTATTCAGGTTCAGACAGGAAAACCACATTGCACTGCATGTAACATAGGGATGATCAGGAACCAAAGATTTTACCCAAAAGTAATCCAAATACAGGATTATGTATTTGATTTACAATAATCAGTCTTTTGATAATCATTTTAATCTTCTTTGGGCTCTGTGATAAAGAGACACCAAAGACTAAAATGCCAGCCAAAACTTCCAACTCACTTTATTATCTTTTGATCTCATTCTTCCATATATTTAGGCCCTGCAGTAGAGCTTCTTTAAAATTAAGTTATTTGAACTAATGTACCATTGGGAGTTCTCCTACTGCCATATATTTATCTTCTGAAAGTTGCACATTTAAGCAAGCAATATGTCAGCCAAAGAAACAATGTTAGATTATTTTCAAAATACATTTTACATTAACCAAATCTGTCTGTAAGTGTCCAGGTGTAATTTTTTAAAATCCCATCACAATGGATTTGGTTCACTTGAAGTCTCTCCTCCTCTAAGATGGGAATAACATTTTAAACTTTCTGGGATAAATGAAATGACTTGATGTAGTGTGGAAGGCTCTCAGCTAGGGAGTAAACACCTTGACCTTGTCTCTGCCCCTGACCTTGTCTCTGCCCTCTGGCCTTGTCACTGGGTGACCCTGAATAAATAACTCATGTGCCTTATTTGTGAAAGGGGGGATTGAAAGAGTCACACCTTAACTTTCTTACATTTTAATTTACTTTGAGTAGAAGTTTTAAATGTTATGATGTCTTCAGAAAGGGATGCTAATGTTCCTGGTTATGTTCTTTATAAAAGATACATTCAGTCTTAATTGGGTGATATTAAGAGCCTGCACTCTGAAACCCAATGGCCTAGGATTAAATCTCAGATCTGCCCCTCACCATCTGGGTGATTTGGACAAGTGGTTGAACCTCTATGTCAATGTGCATCTGCCAGGTAGGGCTGATGATAATACCTACCCATGAAGGGGAGGTGAGAGTTACATGAGTAACACATGTGAAGGGTGTGGAATAGGGACTGACCCATCTTCAGTAAACGGCAGCTCCAAAAATGATAGCTTCCTATTCTACGAAATTTTCGAGAATAAATGAAGCCAGATAAAACCGCATCCCAGAGACCCATTTCCTAGATGACTTTCTTACTGCAGAAGACCTTCAGGACCTGAGGGCATAAACATTTCCAAAACTGAAAACAGTTTACAACTGTCTCACATGTTGAGTCAAGCTTTTCTTAAATTCCTGCTATCAGATGCTTCTATTTTTTTTCTTTATAAAATTCTAGAATTATTTTTACATTTGCCATTTGTACAGGCTTTATTTTATACTAACAAAACCAAGAAAAACTTTGAGCATCAAAGACTAGATGTGCAATAATCAGTTTTATGAACAGGGATGATTTACATATATATAGAACATTATTCTTGCAGCCAGCATAGGAAATTAATTGGTTCATTACTGATTTACTCTTATTAGAAGGTAATGATGATAGTATCATAAATAAGCAAGCCATAAATGTAATCAAGCAAAGTAGAGGGATTTCATGTAAATTTATCATTGAACCAGTAAATTATATGTAAAGACATCAAATAACATTTCTAGGATGGAAATAAGGGCTCATTATCATGTGTAAGGACAGTTTATCTGAAATGGAAGGCTCAGTCACCTTTTTTGGCTTTACCATTCTAAAAAGAATGTTTGAACATTATATGTGAATCAGCACATGAACAACTTTAGCTCCACTCTATGGATGATAAGTAAATCACAGGGAAGTCACAGCACAAAGACAACTTGAAGAAACCTTGGCAAATAAATAAGGATGCAAGCCTGCGGCATCCCAATCTGTCCCGATCCCTATACCTTTTCTCCTTTCCTGCAACACCTCAAAATCAATTCCTTGGACTGTACCCTGGGTGCATATGAGGGATATAGAAATGGAGTCTCACTGAAGGCTTGAATTCTACTACCTTTCTTAGAAGTGCTGTGGCTCAAGTGAAGCCCCAGTTGATGTGAAGGAAGCTGACAAATCACTTCCTAGAGAGTGATCTTTGGGCAGAATGGTCCGGGTGGCCGGGGGCATCAGATTCACAGGGGTTTGTCACAAGCCTAGGCTGAAGTTGTCTCTGGACAAGATGATAAGGTTGTCACCTTAAGCTACATGATAGTCTGCATGAGATTTCCTTTTTGGGGCTTTTAGAAATTGGATCCCAAACCATAATATGACCAAAGGACTTTATCCTCAGTAAAATTAAACGTGGAAAAAGAGGGAAGAGAAGGGAACTAAAAGTCGTTAAAACATCAGACACCAAGCTAGGGAGCGTGCATTTATTTTATTATACCTTAATTTTGCTTCTATGAAATCATGGTCACAAAGAGAAAAAGGGAAGATATTCATACTCAGATATCACTGACTTCAAAGCCTCTTCCCACTTCCCAGTGCACCGCACTGCACTTCCTCAGCTGTCCAGGCAATCCTCATCTGTTTCCAAACAATCCATGCTTTGCAAACCCAGCTTCTACCTACTTTTGTAGATTATGGAAAAACTTAGGTGGGGATTGGGCTGGATCTCACCTGCCTATGGGTGACATTCCCAGAAGGATGCAGGGCCGCGGGGGGTGCCAGCATTATTTTTTAGGCTACTTGCATCCACCTGAGTCTTTCTCATCGCTGTACCTCCAGGTCCTAGAACAGAACCTGACAGAATGCTCAGTCTGTCCTTGGGAAGAATAGATAATTCCCTTTCTCCAATTCCTTTGCAGGTCTCAGAGGTGACAAGTTCATCTGCTTTCAAGACCGCCAGTGGCACAGCGAGTGCTTTAACTGTGCGAGGTGCTCGGTCTCCTTGGTGGGAGAAGGCTTCCTGACCCAGGACAAGGAAATTTTCTGCCGCAAATGTGGCTCTGAGATGGACATTGACATCTAGAAGTAGACCGTCCTTCCCCCATCTGAAATCCACCCTGTTTTTCTTCTCACTAAAGTTGAAGTCGTTTTTCTCATTTAAGTTTAGAAAATATTAATGTAGAGTTTATAGTGGAAGAGTTTTTGCACACATTCTGATTGAACTGTATTATAAAAGCTAAAAAAAGGCACAGTCTAACACACATGAATATATACTAAATCACAAAGGCACCTCTCCTTGCAAAATACTGCACCCTACTGTTAGAAACATAGCAAAATATCTCTTTATTGTAATCAAGTACGTGACCTAGACCTAGAAGCTCTGGATGTTATTACTGGAGACGTTTTTCAACACTGCAGAGTAAAAAGGAAATTAAGAAATCAAATAGAAAGATGTAGGAAAGACTGATGTTTGCATTCCCGGCTAGCTAGTTATGTAATGCATGACAGGTTGGCTATGAATGGCAGACCAACCGAACTTACCAGGAAAAACTGATTATCAACATCACATTTAAGAATTCTGTCATTTTCTCATTCCCGTTTTGTTCACACATACTGACTTTGGAGTTGAAAAGCAAAGCTGTGATTTGCCCTCATCCACACTGCTGCTACAGCTGGTTAATTCCTGTGTTTAACCCATGGAGTCTGAGAATTATGGATGCTGCGTCTCTCTCATACTCTGCATAGGCATAAAGGTGTCCTTTCTCCCTGGGGAAAACAAAACATAGGTTTCAACACATTTTGTATTAACATTTTCAAAACCCGCAGTGACTTTTCTAAATACTTACAGATTCCATGAAAGGTAAGTCTGTTCTTTCAAAAGAGCTAAACAGGATAATCATTGTCCCCAAAGGCAAACCTTTAAAGTAAATAGATCATTAAATCATCGCTTGTGGAAATGAGTTTTAGGGAAAGGATTGAGTGTTGGAACATGACTTTCATCCAGATATCTAAAGGCATAATAGAATGCGTGATTAGCTCTGAGCCTCATGCATTTTGCCTTCTAAAATTACACAGATGATTAATAGGAAGACATAAAAGTGGGCTTTAAAGAAATCTAGTAATAATAAGAACTGAAAAAGAATAATTCACTGCTGATAACTCACGACCTGCAAAGCAGTACAATAGAGCAGTGCAGGCTGTACATGAACCTTCCTCACTGTTCCTCCACCCAGTGCCACCTGCTGCACCCCATGCTATCCAGGCTCCAGAGCTTCAGTCTCCTGCACGACCCTGCGTGCACGCCCAACCAGAAGCAGACATTCTACAAATGAGCAGCAATTATTGATCACAAGAGAAGTAACAGCCTTAGGAAAAAGCCTACCACCATATGTACATCTTTCAACCAGATGTCAATTGATAATGTTTCTACCTAGCTGCCCCTGGACAATATTTTCCATGTTATGTGGGACATATGAAAAACAACCTCTGCTCCCCACAGTAAATTATCACCATTGTAGCATCACTTGGGTGAGATAAAGGGAGGTCAGGAGAAGAAACCCACACAGACATAATATTTTTATAATTGTCTACTCTGATTACTGCATAAGCATTAAAGGTTCTGATTGAAATCTAATTACATGCTGTGGCTGATTACAATGATTAAAATAGTATCACAGGAGATTCAATTAAAATTGTTATGGAAACACAATTTTTGAAACAGTTTAAACTGTAAGGACATTTGGAGATGCTAACAATCTAGATATTAATGAAAGGTCAGACTACATAGGCTCTTTGAAAGATATAGTTGTCTTTTTTTTGTCATTTTCTCATTTTCTCATATTCACATTGTAAAATATAGGCAAAACTATCAGTATTTTTCCCGCATTGTGAAATTGCATATCTGGAACTCACTATACCAATTGGTCTATGATCTAGAAGTAGGAGTGCCTTACATACATGCAAAACCAAGCTAAGTCTGGATAGACACACCACATCGCTTCAGTTAACTCATTATAGGTAAGTATACAAAATGCAATGTTTTCTTAGCTAAACCATTGGTCATGTTTAGGTATTTTGCCTTAGATAGGGTGGGGTGCAACTATGAACGTGATCAGACATGCATTCTCTCTGTATAATTAAAATCACGGAAACATTTCCAAGATAGAGATTTTGTCATCCTTCAATACGTGTACTTATGAATATGTACTTTCGCCTATACATAATGCCACATTCCAAGATGTATTCAACATACACTATGTGCCAAGTTAGAGTGCAAGCTATTGTGGATCTGGGTGGTGGGAGGGTAGACCTGGGCATCAACGTGGGAGTGCCACTCACAGAGATCCTTTCCTACAACTTATAAAAGGGGCCACTGTAGACTAACACACGCATGCAGAACAGCTCAGAAGGCTTCATTAGACTTACATACACACATGGATAAGAGTAAAAATATTATACTGTATACTGTAGCTGATCTGGGGTCTGTAAAGGGAAAGGTTCTCTAACTGGCCTGCCCACAGGTGGAGGGGACCGGCTCAGGGCACAGTGGGCTCCCAGTGGTTCAAGGGCTTACATCTGTGCAGGCAAGGAAGCAGAAGCAAATCCTGTGTGTTAATAACAACCAGATGGCCCGGAAGTAGCAGGGAGACTGTGCCAAAGAGCAAAAGGAAATGAGATTGCTTGAAGAGAAAAGGTCAGATGAAGGGAGAATATTAAATCTTAGGAAAAATTGTTTATATTAGCTAAATCAGGCAGTAAAACATTACGAACTATTCTTAAATAGAAGAGAAAGAGCATTAGGGCAGGGTTTGAGGACCACTGTGCTCATGATTCGACCTAGAACCACAGAGGGCAAGTTCCAAAGGCCAGGTCTCCTTACGCAGTAAGACATTTCGTTAGTGCCTCCAGAAGTAAAAAGGTATAAGCATTTGTCGATGCAAGCCAACAAGAGCTGTATGTACTGCTAGAGATGAGTATGCAAGCCAACTAGTCAAAGTATTTTATGTTGTCGTGTTAGAATTAAAGATGAGAAAGATAAGTCCAGAAAAGGACGTCTGTGTCCATGATAATAGGTAGAGAAACAAAATTTCAATTTTCACTTAATAAAATCATAAACATGTAATATTGGAACAGTTCAGTGAAGTGTGATAGGGCTGTTATCATGGGTTCAAAACTTACTAAAACTTTAAAGGAAATATTAAATTATGTTGGCGTAAAAGATTGTAAAATGGTAAAAGATTGTAAAAATGGTAACATTGTCACAAAAGGCATTGCTTAAAAATCACTGCAAAATTTGTTACTGTAAATTAAATATATGTCTGATGATAGTAACGACATTTTTGAGTTTAAGAAAAAAAGTACTTTTAAAATTCACTTTGTGTATCAGTAATAATTCATATTCTAAATGAGAAAATGATTGTTACAGTGTTTTAGGTATATGTAATTGAGCACATAAATTATTCTCAAATACATTTATAGATATAGGTTTATGATTTCAGTTAATACCATTTTTATCTGCTCTACAAATTGTGATTTTCAGGAGTTTCTCATGCTGAATAAATTTGCTTGGCACATATTTCTCAAATTGTTTTTAGAGATTTATTTCATACATTAACTCTGCATGTATGAGATAACTGTAGCATTTCAACGTTTATTATATAAGGGGGCAAGATTACTTTCATCTTCTTGTCCCACCCATTTTTACAACACCCAAATTATATAGTCATCATTTCAGAGTAATAACACGATTGAATTCTGTCTGACCCAAGTAAGAATGCCTCTCCCATTGAACTAGGAGAGCCATATCTGTGCACTTTCTTACAGTGATCACATTTTAAAATATTCTAAACTAGGAAGAACCATTTTATCTCTAATTATCATTTCTGTGATTCTAAAACTATTCTATCAGAGTTCAATTGGATTTTGCTATTTGACTGAAATAGTCATTTGCTAATTTCTTGTTCTTTCTATATTGGAGATAGTTTTTAAATTCTTAGTGGTTTTAAAGCTCATTGGTACAGATTAGTAGTTGCCAGAGGCAGTGGGGAGGGGAGTGGACAAAATGGATGAAGGGGGTCAAAAGGTACAAAGTTCCCGTTACAAAGAAAGTCATGGAGATGAGATTTACAGCATGGTGACTATAGCTCATATTGTATATTTGAAAGTTGCAAAGAGAACAGATAGATCTTAAAAGTCATCATCCCGAGAAAAATTTTTTTTTCATACATATGGTACTTATTGTGATCATTTTGAAATGTACACAAATACTGATTCATTATGTTGTACACCTGAAAACTAATATAATGTTAAATGTCAATTATACCTCAATAAAATTTCTTAGTGGTTTTGAACTCATACATTATATCCAAAGCAAAATTTGTGTCTGTAACACAGGCCTTTATGAAATTTTGGCTAATCCACACTATAAGTATTAGTTAGGTTCTTTTCAGAACTGCATTAGATCATGAATTCATTTAATACTGCCATGTATTACACAAAGAAATATTTGAAAGAACATCTCTCACCAAACACTTCTATTTCATTTTCAAAAACTGCATGGCTTTGAAATAATGAAATTCCCATGGGTACTCAAAAGATAAATATTATGCCGTGTAATAGTGTTTCTTCAACGTAAGAGTCAGAATCTCATTAGAAATGATACTTGCTAAGATACTACTTTTATCCTGAACCTCTTCCCCCAGAAACATCAGACCTTTAGATCTTCATTATTCAACCAGAAATGTCCCAAGAGTCAGCGGGATAGCTGGGAAGAAGGGATGTGGGAACTTCGAGGACCTCTTCCCAGGGGGAGGTAAAGGAGGTCTATCAAAATTGGGGGATGTCATTAGAAAGAGTTGACCCTACAACTTCTCTGAAGTTACTGTATTTGGGTTTTGTTTTGCCAACATTACAAAAGGATACCAGGAGTCTCACGTGAACCACCCAAGTCAGGAGAAGTTGGGAACGAGTCCATCTATGGATTCAGTCCATCGACATCCTTGTGGCTTCCTAAAGGTACTAAACATGCATCATCCAGAGAGAATCAGAAATTTTTTTTTTTCAGAATTCTGGCCATGCTGAATTTCCCAGATGACTAGCTTTAGAACCAAATACTCTGCTAAATATGAGGGTGGGGGAGAGAGTTCTCAAATTAGGAGCCAAAAGGGAGGGGAAAAAAGTTGAGATTCATGCTCAAGTTTGAGACTATAAAATAAATAACAGGGTTTTAGTGTATGTGGAATGACTGGATTGTATAGCTTGTGGCTGAGAAAGAAAACAGCTCACTGTGATAGAATTATGATCCATGTCACAGAGGAACAAAGACTATGTGGGTCAGATATTTTCCCACGAATGGAAATAAATTTATGGAGTGGATGTCCACAAAGGATTCTCAGAATGAGGGACACTGATGATCTCAACAGACATCCACTCAATGACTCGAACAGTGATTTTAAATGCTATTCCCATCACATGCAGAAACAAAAATCAAGTTTGATATTTATGGAGGACCACACATGGAATCCCAAAGGCTCATTCTTTCTTTAAACGAATGACAGCCTATCCCTGGTTTGTGTCTGTAGCATCACTTACGAAGCTGAGAACTCCAACCGAAGCTCTCAAACAGGAAATGAATGGGGGAGGATAGATAAAGGAGATCTGGAGAAAAAAGTGTGGTGATAAAAAAATTGACTTTCCTTAAATAGAAAATTAAATTGCATTTAAAAATATTTTTCCCTATATAATAAAAATTTTCCAAAGCTACCAGGCATTTACAGGAAGCAAAATAATGGACTCCAAGAAAGAAAAATTGTTATAAAATTGTGGACTCAGGAACTTTGGTATCTGTCTCCTCCTCTCAAGGGAAATTACTCTCTCAGATGCCAACAACAGTTATTAGCCAAAGTCAATAATCACTTCAACTTTCTGTGCTGTTGTGCATATTTGCTATTGTTGGCCTCCCCTTATTCCTTCAAAATCTGACTCTAGCAATCATTTCACTCTGCCAACAGGGTATACCAATGCCCTGTTGTGCATCTTAAATGTACACCATCTTTTTTTACAACATAAAATAATTTTTAAAAAAAAGAAAGCAATACTCCCAGGCAGTCCTCATCAGTAGGTTCTCATAGCAATCTTGGAAACAGATTCTCTAAAAAAGTAATGATGTTAAATATTCTTCTTACGTTTATGAGATTTTTTTTTTTCATGTTCAATACACCTGGCTCATTAATACATTGCTGCGGAGAGGAAAATATTTCTAAAAGGCAGTTTGGCAATGTATACAAAGAGAGCCTTCAATTGTTTTCATAACCTCTGACCAAGAAATTACCATTCTAAGAATTAAATTGTGGAAATCATTGGAGAGCCACACAAATATTTCTATGCTAGAGTATTTATTGCAAGGTTGTGAAAACAACACTAATCAAGAAACTAACTAAAAGATCCACATAAAAGGGAATAATGTAATTAGAGTACATAAGTGCAATGAACTACTATAAAAGCAGCCACTAAAAAATAACTTTAAGACGAACATGGAAAAATGCTCAGGGCCTTTTTGAGTGGAAATAAAATGTTACAAAACAAGTATTACATAATCCAATGTTGCCGTTTACATGTGAAAACATCTGCGAAGAAGTACAATAAGATATTGACACGATCAAAAAAACATCTCTCTTCCAGTGGTATCCATGACAATAGTTTCTCTTGTGTCTCTTAAAACTTTGCCTCCGTCACTGGTACACCATTCTTCTTCTATCTCCTACAAATAAATATTCCTAAATATTCTGTCTTCAAGTTTCTTGTCCTATAGTTTCTCTTTCGGTGAACTCATCTAGTTTCATGATTTCAATTGCCTTTTCTGTGTAGATAAGTCCCAAATCTCTGTCTCCTGTCTTAAATTCTGAGTTCCAGATCCTTCTAGGCAGCTGCAACTCAATATAATGTAGACAGCTTCCAGCTTTATTATCCTTCCCACAAATCCCACTTACCTTCCTGTGTTCCACATCTTAGTTAATGCATTATCCAAATAAAGCCTTTATAATGTATGTCTTGGGTACATGAAAAGATACTCGATACCATTGGTCATTAAGAAAATACAAATTTTAACCACGCCGAGATGCCATTTCACGTGGATTGAAATGGCTATGATACGTAAGGTAGAGAATAACAAGGGCTGTTAAGATGCAGAGAAACAGAGACCCTCATACATTTTTGGCAGGTATGTAAAAATGGAGCAGCCACTTTGGAAAACATTCTGGCAGTTACTAAAAAAGTTAAATATAAAACTACCACACCACCCTGAAATCCTACTCTTAAGGCATCTACCCACGATAAATAGAAACTTAAGTCGACACAAATGTTTATAGCATCATTACTCAAAATAGTCAAAAAGTGAACGACTCAGTGATGAATGGATAAACAAAATGTAGCGTAGCCATACAAAAGAGTATTATTCAAGCACAAAAAAGAATCTCCTAACACAACATGGATAAACTTTGAAAACATTAAAGTGAAAGAAGCCAGACAAAAAAGGCCACATATTGTATGATTCTGTCAATACCGAATGCCTGGGGAAAGCAAATTTAGAGACAGAAAGTAGATTTCATAGTTTTCTCAGGCTGGGAGTGGTAATGTGATTAATTGTTAAGTGGACACAAAGGATCTTTATTGAGGAGGATGGAAATATTCTAAAACGGGTTTATGGTGGTGGTTGCCCCACTTGGTAAAATTACTAAATATCATTGAATTGAATACTCAAAATACGAGAATTGTTTGATATGTAAAATGTATCTCAATAAATGTTGTTGTTTTTTTTAATGGACCTTAGCTTTTCCTCTCCCCAATCCCTTACATCGAAGCTCTGTAAGAAAAGCCACAACTTTTTAATTTTTACCTTGCAGGCTTTTATCGTTTCCCCCAAATACCATTTCCCTTCCATTTTTATTGTGCCTACAATTCTCCTCCTTTTACCTGCTTGTCAAAATTTTAATCAAACTCTAAAGCCCAGATCAAATTTACCTCCTATGTGAAATCTTAATATCCCTTAGAAAAATTTAATCATCATTCTTCAACTTTTTTTGCAATTCTGTGAGAACTTTAAACAGTTTGATTTACATTAGAGTTAAGAATGGGAGGCAATCTAATTAAAAGCCGATGGTATTCAGAGTTGGTGAAACTGGGTTCAGATTCCAACTCTGTCACTTCTTTGAGGTGTGACATGTGGCAAAGCTACTGGACTCTCTGAGCCTCAGTTTTCCAATTTTTAATTAGGGATCTATAATGTAAACTTGAAGAAGTTGTTGAATATTATGTGAAATATATGCATATTGCTTCACATCTACCTGGCACATATTTAACTTATTAATAAGTTATGAAATGTCAGTTATCACCTTCCTTCCCACCCCCTCTCTACCTCTACATTATACACTTACTTCTCTTCCATAAGCAGTGCTTAGCGAGTTGTCTGACACTTGGCAAATAATCAATATGTATTTACTGATATTAATTTCAGTTGTGAAAATATTATTGCTGTAATAGTATTCTCCGTATGGTGCTTGTCAATAGTTATGATTAAATAGGTAAATCCTTTACTACTCACATTGATCGTCTTACACGGAGTTGCCCACGTGAGAGGGCAGCTAGATTGCAAACAATGCCTGTGATTTCAAGCACCTGCTTTGAATTTTTCACTTTGACATGATGTTTCCTCTGTCCATTAGACTACTGATCTCTCGAGTACACCTCTCTCAACCAGCATCTGCGTGGGTGTCTTGAGATGCCTAATTTTCAGGTGCTCTGGAGAACAACTGCCTATATTTGAAGCTTCCCCTTTTCTTGAGTTCCAGTTCTCTCCTGTTCCAGTGTTTTCTATCTCTTAATGTGTATTAATTCCCTTCAGACATAGTTTCAGAATATCCACATAGTTACTTTGGGTTGAATTCCAGAAAATAAATACCTAGCAACTTTTTTGAGTCCATATTGCCTGGTCCTTAACCAGCTCCTGCTGCCTGGTGCCTTTATATTAAACTCTGGGGCTTCTAGGTATAGGAGCCGACAGCCAACAAATGTATAGGAAATGTCCTGAGATTCAGGGAAATAAAACACTCTGGGTATTGAAATCTCAGTCTCATTCTCATTCTTAGGTTTTTTATGAGCTCTCTCTTTAAGCCTCATAAGAAGTATGTGTCTAGCTGCTAAAATGAGGCCTTTGCCTGTGTATTAAGAGAATGATATCAAAACTCACAATATTTTGATTCCCAAATGAAAAAATAAGGTCCTTTAATTTGTAGTTCATTTTCTCATGGGG